ACAAACTGTAGCTTTGCTTTGATGTGCTTGATTTGTGGTTGCTGCTTTATCCATGTCTCTGTCGCTATATCAGCACATTTTGCAACTGCATGGATTAAAGCTCAGAACATTTTGTGACAGGTAATTCAAGCATCAAACTGTGAACAAACGATAATGACGCTTTACTTAGCAGTACGACTGTTATGTAGTACGTTATAATCGTTTTATATTTGGGTGCCCTAATCAGCCATCGATCAGTTATGGGCTCAAAATTGGATAATATATTAAGGAATGTCTACCATTATTAATAATCAGCAACAGCTTCGAAATCTCATAGTGCATGTTAAATGCAAATTTCGTAACACTATCTTAGAGTCACACGAAAACCACGTTCATTGCATATGCAATCACTGTTCTACAGGACTATAGGGTGTTCCTTGGAAACATCACTAATAGTACAGGAGGAGAAGAGTTTAATAAAAGCAGAAACGTTTCTGGACCGTTGATTATCACTGTTAACATGGGTTTAGATAGCGATGTCCCTCGGCGTTTCCTTAATTTGATCTTCGGTATTTCATGGAGCTTTCAGAAATCTGCTCATAGCATTTCCAAAGCAATGCTTCAATTTCTAATCATTGACATTGTGTCTGTCATTTGGAATGTATGCAGCTGCAGACAACCGCTTGTACCACACTGTCGTATTTTTCATTTGTTACATGAGCATTCTTAACCTGACAAGCCAAAGATCAGCAATTCTACGATGAACTGGGCGAGCTCATTACTTCATGACAGGTCAAGGCAACTTCCGCGAATTCTTTGTGAAAGAAAGAACAATATTGAACTGTCCATCTGCACATACGGAAAAGGCGAAATAAATAAATGTGGAGATTTGATTCACATTTTTTCCAGAAAGCAGCCACCTCTACTTCATGAATACGGTTTAGAACAAGTTCAAAAGCTACAGTGAACACGGAAAAGCGCAGATGGAATGTCTTTGAACAAAATCGACGATGTGTTGCATGATAAAAAAGGCGAGAACGTTGTTTTTACAGAATCAGGTAAAAGACTTCTACGATCCACCGTTACGAGAGATATGTCAAGAAAAGAACGGGTCCGAAAAGCCTAAGGATCACAACTTTATTGTGACTACGATTTGATTCAGGGGCTTTGGCGAAGAGCTGTAATTAATGAACGTTGAAATGAATATAAGCGAGGGAACAGATGCAGATTATGACCATTTTGTCATTGTCATCAAGACCGTCGTTAAAACACAAAATGAACGAGAAACCAACGCGTCAACCCTTCAGCAAAATAGCCGAAGGCTGAAAATGTCCAGCTGAAGGTCCATGGGAAAATGGACAACGCGTATACAACATTTTGCAAAGAGATGCGGAAAAATTTGAATGAAGACTGCGAAGGTTACAACGAAGACTACAGTTAAGAAGTACCATGGAGCGGAATTTCTGAAAGCTGCAGAACCGTATATTCACCTGAAACACGGATTCCAATTGCATTGAAAGACGAAGTACGAGCAAGGGCTATTGATCTCAATCGATTGAACGCGACATGCACAAAATTATGCAACAACTGGTAAATCTCCAAAGTACACGTGAATCAGAAAATGCCATGCTTTGCCACAAAGCCGTTCCCGAAGTCACCTGGCACAAAGTTCAGTCGGCAACCAGAAACATCAAACATGGCAAATGCCCAAGAGAAACGGTACGAGACCAGAGCACCTTTGAGTAGCAGGAGCAATTTTGGTTAAAACACTTGCCAAGCGTCTTGCCCAACACCTCAGGCAGAACAAGGCACCTACAGATAACTCCCAAGTTTTCAACTTTATCATTCTGAGCCGTGTTCGAAAGAACCTTG